CACACAATCCCTTCTCCTCTTGGGACTTTGGGCATGCACACACGTGCATCCAGCTTAAGTTTTAAGCTGCTGGGTCTGGGACTCAAACATGGGAATCCAGTGATGTAACCATTATGCCACCTGCTGGTCACAAGAACTGGCCATTTTTTTAACATCCTGAGTACCCACCAAGCCACAATCTGTCCCCCAGTCAACTGACTTCCCCAGGATCAGGACTGTGTCCAACCCAAATGCAGACTTCATAGGAGCACCCAAGATGTCTTGGTCTTCACACACCATCTCAACAGCAGCTGTGTCCTAACCCCCGCTCCAAACTAGCCTACGGCCACAGGTCTCCTCTGATCCTGGTGACCTGCTTTGTTTACCCAGCCACAGGGACTTCCCTGGGCCCATCCCAGTTCAGGTGAGTCAGGGCAGGGACTGCCCTTTTCAGGGCAGGAACCTCACTGGGACAAGGGCCATCACCTCCTGGAAAGGGGAACAGACTCTCCGCAGTGGCTGAAGAACGACGTGCAGCAGCACCTGGTCCCCAGGTAAGAGCCGGGGAGGACCTGTGGGGGCTGAGGCTGGGATAAGCGGGACCCGCTTCTACCCTTCTGCGATTTCCTGGTCTGCTTTCTCTCAATGTGCTTCGCCCTGGGAGTGAGGTGTGAAGTGGCCTTTCTTCGGACCCCAGTCCCGGTTTGAGGGCTGATGATTTCCTTCACCCAGACATCACGAGGGCCCAGATTCGTTCGTTCATTCCTTCCTTCCTTCTTTCCTTCATTTATTTAGGGAGAGTTTTTGCTATAGAGTGCATGCACTCGCCAGAAAGACAGAGAGACAGAAAGCGAGAAATCACCCCCCAGGGGGGGATGGCCACGCCACAATCCCTTCTCCTCCATTCTCCTCTCGGGATCTTGGGCACGTACACACATGCGCCCAGCATGAGTTTTAAGCCACCGGGTCTGGGACTCGAACCGCAGTCGACTACATGGGAGTCCAGCAACATACCCCAGGTTCCTTCTGACTGCCGGTGATCATACTCAAGGAGGTGGGACCCATACTTTGCTCCTGGACTTAGGCTCTTGGAAGGCCCCACGCTCACCAGAGGCTGCAGACAGCCCAAGAGCCGATTTCTACCAGGAGTTAAGCCCAGGCCTCCACTGGTTGTTTCCTTCTCTGGCCTAAAGCTGCTTCTATCAGCAAACACCCTGTTATGGCCAGGAAGAACCTGCTGGGGAACCAGGCCAGTGGCTGTGCTCTGAGAACTGGTTTTTTCACGTGCAGACAAGGAACAGCCCATCCAGGTAGGAGGGCTGAATGAGCACAGACAATGGGAGCCAGTACCTGTCTGCCACACAGCTGGGCTACAGTTTTGGGGCTCGAAAGGAGCCTGCGGCGTGCTGGGCAGGCACTGGCTGCTTTCTGTACTAGCCCAAGCTAGCAACAACTAGACACCACCTCCACTTCCCACTTGGGTGCCCTGCTTCCACCTAGGCCCTATTCCCTGAACGTCAGCCAGGGGCCTGTTGAAATGGAGGCTGGACCATGGCACGCTGCTGCTCCACATTCCCCGTGGCCCCCATCTCACCAGTCAGTGCCGAGGTCCTCACCATGACCTGCTGATTCCTGCAACGTCCCCCTACGTCTCCCACTTTGGCCAAGCGAGTGCAGGTTCACTGTTCGGATGTTCTCTAAACGCCTTCCTCAGGGCCTTTGCCCTCAGCCTGGAATGCTCTCCCCACTTCCAGGGCCTTAACTCAGTTGCCCACTCCTGACCCCACCCCCCACAGTGAGGCACTCTGGACCTCTCTCCGCCATCCTGCACGGCAGAGTCATGAAGCTCATCTACCCAGATGCAAAGTCTACCCACTGGAAAGTCTATTCCTCCAGGACCGAGCCTTCTCTGGTCCACTGCTTCATTGCTGGCACCTAGAATAGCACGGTCACACCGCACAATGACGTCTCAGTGACAGGCTGCACACATGACCACGGAGCCACAATAGGATAGCACGTAGCCTGGGTGTGTGGTAGGCTCCACCATCTTGGCTCGTGTCGGTGCACTGTGACGTGGGCACAAGGGCAACCTCGCCTAATGACGTGGCTCCATCTTCCAGCGCCACACGGCTGTAATTGGACTTAGTGGGACTCGGTAAACACACTGGAAGAATAAACGGCTTGCGTCGAATGCCTAGTGTGCTTGGTATGGTGCCCAATGCTTTCCAGACATCGCTTATGTCTTTTTAAAAATCTGTAACCCCCCAATAACTCTGTATTGTTACCCGTATCACAAAGGAAGAAGAGGCACTAAATAGGGCCTTGCCCGTGCCCTGTCTTCCCAAGTCCTGCCTCCCTCCAAAGTGCTTGCTCCTGCCCTGCCTCCCCTGGGCCTGCTTGGGACACTTCTTTCTTGAAGCCCACAGCTCTCCTGCAGCAGGCAGTACAGCCCTGGGAAGAGGGGGAGCGTGCTGGTGGCCTAGCAACAGCCTCTTCCTTTCCAACTCACTGTATCCCTGGGCTAATTTGGCCTTCCAGGAGCTATTCCTCTGACACTAACCCACGCTTTCCTCCTGCGCATTGCCTTCTAAAGGACGGATGAGCTGTCCGCAGGAGCGAGTGGGAGTCCCCCAGCTTCGGAACAAAGTGTTCAAAGGAGTGTTCTCATTTTAAGTTCAAAGACGGGGGCCGAAGACCCCCTCCAGCCTTGCTGCTCTCTGAGGACCCAAGTGCTGGTTTGTTGTGGGTGTTGTTACTGCTATCAAAAAGTACAGGAGCTTCAAGAGAGAAATCTGGAAGGTGCTGTGGCAGAGGAAAATTCCTCTGGGGAAGAAGGGCAAGATGGGTTCTCGTCCTTTCCGAGAGGTCAGTTACCCCTCAGTATAGAACTGGCCAACCCTTCCACTGTCGGGGTGTAGAAGCCAGGTCGCCTTACGGTTTCCCTCA